CCGCTTCTGCGCCTTCCTGCTCGCTTCTGCGAGACCGCACCTGCGGTCCCACAACCGCAAGTGTAAAAATACAAGCAGACCCGCAATCTCCAAACTTCAATTTTCATCCCGTTAGCCATCCGAAATCACCCCGAGGCCCCCGGGACCTCAACCAAAAACACAAACATGATCCAATACCTTATTCAAACTTGCTCCAATCATCAAAACATCTCAAACAACACTAAAATCATCCAATTACATCAAATTCAAGCCTAATTTTTCTCAAAACCTCCGAAATGCACTTTCGATCAAAAACCCAAACAAAACACCTCCGAATGACCTGAAATTTTGCACACACATCCCAAATCACCTAACGAAGTTACTGCAACTCTCGGAATCCCATTCTGACCCTCGGATCAAAATCTCGCCTATCAACCGAATTCGCCAAAATACTAACTTTGCCAATTCAAGCCTAATTCTACACCGGACCTCCAAAATTACTTCCGATCACACTCCTAAGTCACAAATCATCCCCCGAAGCTAACCGAATCGTTGGAATCCACATCCGAGCCCTCTAACTCATAGGTCATCATCCGGTTGACTTTTCCAAAATAAGCATTCCTTAAAGAGACTAAGTGTCTCATTTCCATCCAAAAATCAACCCAATTCAACTCGTTCACACAAGACACTGATAATGAAGCATAACGAAGCAGGAAATGGGGGAAACGGAGCGGTTCTCATGAGACGACGGGTCGGGTCGTCACAATGTGACTTTCTAATATCAACCTGTCACGACCCAAACCCCGATCCGGTCGTGATGGCGCCTCTCGTGAAGACAAGGCCAGCCAACCAACCCAAATTGCCTTTTCAGAATAGTTGATGCTAATAAGCAGTTTTAGCATAACTAAATAACCATAGTCTAGACAAAAGATTTCTTTATTAAGTGTGGAATACAACCCAAACACAGCCCAAACCGGGGTGCCACAAGTCACGAGCATCTATAGAGTATAAATACGACTACAAGGCCTATAATATACAAAATAGGACTGATAAACAAAAGGGATAAATGCGGTGCTGCGAACGATGGCAGTCACCTCGCTAAACTCTGATAACTTAGCCTCCGATCAGCTCAGAACCCGCTATCAGGGGAACAAACACCTGCATCTGCACGTGAGGTGCAAGGAGTAAAGTGAGTACTCTAACTCAGTGAGTAATAAAGGTAAATAATAACTGAGTAGTAAGAATTCTCATAAGACAAACCATCATGCTATACAGAGCAGTGTAAAACCTTTTGAGAAAAATAGTGAAGCTGTGAAATCTTTAAAAAAATTTCTTAACTCAGTTTAATCCTCTTTTGAAAACGAATTTTTCAACAGTTACGCAACGATTGCAAAACAGTTAGTGCCTTATAAGCACAGAAAATCCGCCCCTCGGGCACAAATACCTCAGTATAACAGGTAAAATGACAAGTAAAGATGAAAGATGAACACATAAAGGTTCGCTCCTCGGGCAATATCTNGGATAAATACAGACGTCTCCGTACCGATCCGCGAGACTCTATCAAACCTGCTCATGACTCGTGAGACCTAGTAACCTAGGCTCTCGATACCAACTTGTCACGACCCAATTCCCCAAAACCCGATCGTGATGGCGCCTCTCGTGAAGACAAGGCCAGCCAACAGAACAACAACGCCTCTTTTAACAGTTACTTAGCGTGAATAAGTTTGAATCATAGATAATGAAATCATATTGCGGAACAAAACGTGATAAAACAGAGAACCCATACCGACTTAGCCCGAAATCGGGGTGTCACAAGTAACGAGCATCTAGAAGGATCTTTGATACAACTACAAAGCCTGTAAAACATAGAATACAATCTGGAATCAAAAGGAAGAAATCCGGTGCCGCGAACGCTGGCGGTAACCTTGCTCAGCTACGATAGCAAATCCTCAACCAGCTCAAACCCGCTACCGGGTAAACCAATGCCTGCATCTGCGCACGAGGTGCAGGGAGTAAAGTGAGTACTCCAACTCAGTGAGTAATAAAGGTAAATAATAACTGAGCAGCAAGAAATCACGTAAAGCAAATCATCATGCTATATAGAACAGTGTAACCTCTTTGAGAAAACATTGAAACCGTGTAATCTTTAGAAATATCTGGGCTACGTTTAAAACCTCTTTCGGAAACATATTTTTCCACAGTTAAGCAAATGAATGCGAAACAGATACTGCAAGTCAGCACACAAGTCAGCCCCTCGGGCACAACACTCCATTAAAAAAAAACACCAGGGTAACAGGTAAGCAATGCAAGAAGTAGCATGGAAGCCAATGAAATGCGAGTGCTGAAATGTCATGACAAATAATACAATAGGAACAAATGCATGAGTGCAATGCAATGCATATGACGGTACACTCTGGTACCCACTGCGGCGTGCAGCCCGAGCCATCCATATATTTAACATCGACGGCGCTCACTGGGGATGTGTACAGACTCCGGAGGGGCTCCTACAGCCCAAGCGCAAATAATCAAGCCATCTCGTGGCACCAACCAGGCCCTCGGCCTCAATATCAATACAATACCGCTGCGGCGCGCAGCCCGAGCTATCCATATATCCAGAAATCACTATAACACTGCTGCGGCACGCAGCCCGATCCATGCTCAGTCCAGAAATGCACATAAGCCACTTGGGCAATATTAAATAATGGTTCTCAACTCATAACGTCGATAAAATATTGTTTAAGTTTTCAAATCTTAGAAAAATGGCTGAGTTTGCAAAACAGTATTAAAACCCTGGACCGAGATCAAATAATATGCAAAGTAATGCGAAAAATAGTGATATCAATCCCTGAAGGATTCACATAGTTTGCACGAAGCCTAAGCATGGCAATCAGCCCAAATTATGATGATAACAAGTAATTTCAGTCAAATACGTAGTAATTTCATCAATCGGGACGGACCAAGTCACAATCCCCAACGGTGCTCTACCCCACACTCGCTATCCGGCGTGCAGGTCACCTCAATACAGCACTATGATGTGCACATCCGGGGTTTCAAACCCTCAAACTATCATTTACAATCATTACTCACGTCGAACCAGTGAAATCTCTAGCTCGCGACACCTTTGCCCCTCAACTTGGCCTCCACGCGCGTCGAATCTAACCAAAATCAGAGCGAATACATCACAATATGCTAAAGGAACAATACCCAATCGAAAACAATCGAAAAATAGCAAAAATCTCGAAACTAGCAAAACCCGAGCCCCGGGCGCACTTCTCGAAAAATCAGAAAATTCACATCAATGGATTCCTCATCTCGCCACGAGTCTATACATATCAAATTTACCAAAATCGGAGTCCAATTGACCCTTCAAATTCCATTTTTAAATTACCAATTCTCAAGCCCTAGCTTTACTCCCTTTTGATGAATTTCAACCAATTTCCAAGCTAAATCTATCATAATCTCATGTATTTAGGCCAAGGAACTTACCTCCAATCAATCCTCCTTGAATCCCTCTTCAATTTGTCCCAAACAGCTCTCAAAATACTCAACAATGGTAGAAAAAATGGTTAGACTCGCGGATGAAATATTCAATAAAAGCCCTTCTGCCCAGGTCACTTTACTCTATGCGAACGCGGTCAACGCCCCGCGTCCGCGATGACCAAAAACCCATTGACCAAATTACCCCTTCGCGAACGCGGTGACCAACCCGCGAATGCGAACCTTCAGGAACCTCAACTACTCGAACGCGTCCCCAAGGCCGCGAACGCGATGAACTAATACTCAGGGGCCCAACTTCCTTCTAAGCGATCGCGGGAGCACCATCGCGATCGCGATGCTTCCACTCCCAGAACTACGCGAACACGACCATGAAGATGCGAACACGAAGACCAAATTTCAGGCCACCCAAATTCCCTCTACGCGTTCGCGACTTACCCATTCGAACGCGAAGAGCAATTTTCCTGCAACACCAACAGCTGAAACCTGCAATCATTTGAGTCCAAAAATGGTTCGATTGACCCTCTAAAACCACCCCGAGGCCCCCGGGACCTCAACCAAAAGCACCAAACCATCCTAAAACATTATTCAAACTTGCTCCAATCATCAAAACACATCAAACAACGCTAAAACCATTAAATCACATCGGATTCAAGCCTAAGTTTCTTCAAAACTTTCGAAATACGCATTTGATCAAAAACCCGACCAAAACACCTCCGAATGATCTGAAATTTTGCTCACACATCCGAAATTACCTAACGAAGCTACTGCAACTCTCGGAATTTCATTCCGACCCCCGGATCAAAATCTCACCTACCAACCGGAATTCGCCAAAATACTAACTTCGCCAATTCAAGTCTAATTCTACACCGGACCTCCAAAATCAATTCTGATCGCACTCCTAAGTCACAAATCATCCCCCGAAGGTAACCGAATCACCGGAAATCACATCCGAGCCCTCTAACTAAATAGTCAATCTCCGGTTGACTTTTCCAAAATAAGCCTTCCTTGAAGAGACTAAGTGTCTCATTTTCTACCAAAACCAAACCAATTCAACTCTAACTCACCAAATGCCGATAATGAAACATGAAGAAGCAATAAATGGGGAAAACGGGGCGGTAACACATGAGACGACGGGTCGGGTCGTCACAGCCGCTAAACGTTCGCATCTCTAGCGGCAATTGTTTATGGCAATTATAATGGCTACTAAATCCAATCCAAACGACTAATTATACTTATTTACCATCCATTTTTATAGCCGCTAAATTCAAAATAATTGACGCTAAAAAATTTGCATCTTTAACGGCAATTAGTTTACCCTTTTAGCGTCCATTCTAATAGCTAATATGTTTAACTAAATTGCCGCTAAAAATCAATATCTTTAAAAGTCACTAGCGATAATATCAATAATTTGGCGACAATTAATAATAGTTACTACATTTGTATAAAATATGACCCAAATAATAAAATATATTGATATTTATTCAAAAAATGTAATATCTCTCATTAAATCTTAACAAATAAAAGGAAGTACTAATCAAAAATATTAATATCATCGTAACTTAAAACACAAAAATATATTCTTTGGACTAAATAGCTAATGTCATCATAGTAATAATCCAGAATGATGGTCTTTCAAATGATTTCCGCAACTTCTCATCATTTTGAAATCTTCCAACTTCTAAATTATCGAACATCAAACTGTATGACCTGAAACTATAAAATAATTGTGTTAAAGGATAAAGTATAATTGAAAAAACATCTTGAAGATTCCATCACTGTTAGATACTTTGTCAGTCAAACACTGCATGCATTGAGGTAGTCTCAAGAATTTGAGTACAGACTTGCTGAGGAAAAGCTTTTTGCTCAAAAAGAACTATATCATGAATCTATACGAACAACTTGACAAGAAAAGATCAGATCTATCAAGTCATACATCAATGGTTGAAACAGATACCTTACTTGATGTTGTCCTGAAAAGAGTAGACCAAATAAAGCGAGAAATTCCGAAACTGAAGGACATGAAACAAGTGCAAAATGGATTTGGAAGAACTTCGAAGCAAATACTCAAGGATTACTTTGGTCTAGAAACAGAATCGTCTTAAGCAAGCTCTGCCCTTTGTATCTATAACAAATACGCTAACATCTACAAGCAGAAACAACTACGTTCTTTTGATCGTGCATAACGAAGAATCAAAATCTTAACATAACGAAGAACCTGGTCAAGCATCAGCTATTATTTGAACATCAATGTTCCAGAGACATACAAGTTACACAACCAAACAAAATGTTCCAGATTTCACGAATCATAAATCAACAAGTAGAACAGATTTGATTGCAGCTGTTACTCACAACCTTTGCGACATCAACATCTGTGAAAATTAGCTAAAGCAAGAAGCATCCAAGGAAAGTCCAAATACAACAACAAATTAATAAAAATCGAAGGAGGAAAACTCAAACAGTAGCGACGAAGGACAAAGATGAGTAGTACCATGAGAAGGTTGAGCATTTTCAGCAACACTAGGCATTCTTGATGTTTGTGGTACTCGTTCATGTCCACTATTGGCGTCGGGGATCTAATAAATATTAACATGTTAAATAACAATACTTTTATAGGATTAGAATTTTAATTAAAATATCTAAAGTTTATTACATGGAGTTACCTGTTCACGCAAGGTGCCATTGCTGCTTTGAGGCATAGATGCATTAGGAGCATATTTGCGCATTAATTGTCTCATTTGGAGTAATTCTGATTGCATATTCTCTTGATTTTGTTTCATAATATTCATTCATTACTTTGTTTCTCCTTTAACTCGATTATCTGTTGTTCTAACCTTTGTATAACCTTATTAGAAGAATCATCTGCAGCAATATTTCCTACGAGACATACAACCCCATAGAACAGAAGGAGTTGGACCAATCCCTAAACCACGAACATACACACTTTTTTCATTTCCCAACACCTGGGAATACACATCACCTTCCCAAGCAACACTACGAGGAGGTTGCTCAGTAGATGTCTCACTATTGCTCATCTTTTCATTTATCATTTTCTGACCATAGAATACACAATAAATCCACTTTGAAATTCATAAATAGGAAAAAATGCACATTGTTTGACAGAGTCACGAAACCAAAAAAATAAAGAAAGAATAAATCTTACGATTGTCATGATAGAATCATCATCCAGTGGCCTACCATCCTTACGTTTTTTATGAGTTAATAGGAAAATTTTTGCTCATGTAAGCTCTATCCCGTTTACAGCCTAATACAATAAAATTGATATCATATATGTTTGTATGACAAAAAAAAGGTTAAATATTATAGTTTGTAGTATTCACAGGTTTACCTGCTCATTCATCAAGGTGGCAATACTTTTTGATCCTCCTGTGTGAGGCATCGTTTGCTTGGCCCTATTGTTTCTATTTGCTAGGGTACGTCTCTGTCATTGAAATATTAAAATGATATCTTATAAACGTTAAACAAAAATTGAGCATACCTAAAATCAGTTTAACTAGTTCTAAAGCTAAATAGAATATAAGTTATTTTATATATTAAAAGTATACTATTATAAATTAGAAAAGATAATATAATTGCGATGAAAACATCCATATAAAGTTTCAGTTAAAGACTACTAAAACCAAACATGACAAGAAAGAGGCAGAGTAAATAAACTTAAACAACAGATTAGCAAAGCATAAAACTTTTTTAACAATAAAACGATGATTGCAGTGACATGTGGCTACTACATAGGGGCTAAATCGATATGGAATATTTTGCTATTTATAAACAGATCATAGTCATCATAGAACAAACATGTTAGCCAAAGACAACTTGCCAATTTTTACCATAATTATTCATAAACTTTTTAATAATGGAATTATTAAACTTATATATTATACAAATATTTTAAGGCTGGACATTCTGTGCGATGCAAACCAACTAACATGCAGACTTTGGCAAAAGAAAAAGGGCACAATGGAAACATTGTGGAGTAAATTCTCAATGCGATACAATAGTATAACAGCCCAGGATATAAAAGATGATCCGTTGGGTACGGTTCCAATGCCTCTATTCTTTATTATTTTCTAATATTATGGATATAATGTGAAATAGAAATTCCCACTCCTTGATCACCATATAGAAGAAATTTCAACCTATTGTGGAAGATACTCATTTTTGCGTAGATATACTGTCAATGGGTATGAACTAGTGTGTGTTGAATATTTAGTTGCGATAATCATGGTTCTGTTGTATTCATATGTTTTGCATTTTTTATATTAAATATGTTGATCCATAGTTTTTGTCTAATTAGGATGATATTGCTCAACAAGCAGAAACTGGAAAAGTTTACAAAGCCAATTACTTTGACAAGTATGGAAGGATTGTTCTTGTCATGAGGCGTGGAATATAGGTACATATATAATGAGAAGCAGTTCCTATAATGAGCTTCTGTCGACTCCGATATTGTAACTTCTATTTTTCTGATATCTTTTTATATTCTCCTAGCTCTTTCAGAACCCACACTCGGTAGAGAAGCAAATGAGATATTTAGTCTACTGCATGGAGACTGCCATACTGGATTTAAAATTGGGTCAGGAGCGAATGGTTTGGTTTATTGACTTTGAAGGGTGGAACATGTCAAGCGTATAAGTAAAGGTGACTCGTGAAACAACACATTTACTACAAGATCGTTATCCAGAGAGGCTAGGTCTTGCAATCTTTTATAATCCGCCAAAAGTTTTTGAGTCCTTCTGGATAGTAGGTGCCTCTAACTTTTAAATTTTCTCATTTCCATTTTTTTGTGCTAATTAACGGCAAAATAAGATTGCTCTTGTTTCATTACATTAGTAATGGGAGTTTAGCAGGACTGCTGCATGAGAAGAGAGTATTTCAGGATTGGGATGCTAGGTATAATATCATATTTTCTAGGAAAAGGGTCGGTATCGAATCCTAAAGCAGCAGTGCAATGTCTTAGTTTCTCTGGTTCATCTGAACCTCTCATCAGATCACCTCCTCAATAACAGTAATTAACTCAGCCTTTGTCCCGGTCTAGCTAGTTGATTCTTTCTAGTTGACGCAACAACGAGTTAGGAACTGATTTATTGTAAATCAATCGACCAACATCAATCAAAAATCTATTGTAAATCGATTACAAGGAACTGATTTACTGTAAATCTACTGTAAATCAATTGGAAGAAGAGAAGTTAACACTGCCCTTGACGCACTGTAAATCGATTTGAACTGATCTACTGTAAATCGATTGTAAATCTAAGAGAAGAAAATTTACCTAGGAAGAAGATGGCCACTGTTGTTTACACACTGTAAATCGCACTACCGTTGATGCAGTGGAGTTGACGCAGCAGCGTGTTAGGGTTTTTGACGCAGCAGCTAGATAGTTTCTTTTTTTGGCAGCGATTCAACTTGGGAGGGAAACGAAATCAGTTCAATTGTTTTCTAATTGGGAGGGAAACGATGCAGCGATACAACTGGAGAGGGAAACGAAATTAGTTGTATTATTTTTCTAATTTGGAGGGAAACGATAAAGGGTATCCAAAAAGAATAGAGGAAAAAATGTTTCTCTTTTTTGTGCGGAGGGAAATTTAAAATAATAAAAGATTAATTTCAATTAGTAATTTTTAGTGGCTATTATTTTTTATTGCCGGTAAAAGGATATCTTTTACTGGCTAATGATCATATCCGCTAATATTTAAGTTTAAAAAATTTATTAGCTATCATTGCCTTATTACCGCTAAATAATTACCGCCAAAGGCCTTTTTTTGTAGTAGTGTACCTCATTCAAATCTATCACATGCATACAAAAAGGAAAAGGGAATCGACTAAACTAACGGAATATTCTTAGGAAAGCAAAGAAGAAAAAGGAATCAATAAAAGGCCCAAAATCAGTGGAAGTGTTAATCTCAATGATCGGGAAGATTAAAAGAGACTCAATCGATCGAGGATGAATCTGGCTATACTTTGCACTAAATATTCAAGAGACTACCTTTGGGTCATACTCTTAGAAACTCTACCTCAAAAGAAAAATCACATCATAAATGACTTTTCAGAATCCCGGAAGAAGAGTAAGCAGCCTCATCAAGCACTATTAAAGAAGAAGAGGAAGAACGAGGAAAACTACACAACTTTCATCCAAGTTTTAGTCTTTCTGGTTCTTACTAAACAGTGTATTCCTAACCTTACTAGTGTATCATAAGATAGAGAGAAAAAGAAAGTTATTGAAAGATTATGTCAAGAAATCAGTTGTAACTTGTTGGTGGTAAATGTAAGAAAACCACTCTCATTGTAACTGCCATTGAAGATCTAAGAGAATCCTTGTGACCCAAGGGAACTGGATGCAGGTACCATATCGGTATACGAACCCTGTTTAAAAATCTATGTCTCTCTTGTTTATTTTCATTACGTGCAACAACAACAACTTAGTAAAATCCCACTAAATTTTCATTACGTGACTTTATATTTATTTGGTTATGTAACGACCCGACCGGTCGTTTTTAGAACTCACGCCCCAATCCCCTATTAACTGCTTCCCCTAAGTTCATTTCTGCTATTTTTGTTTGCCGGGACGTTCGGTGTGGTGTTTCGGAGTGTTTTGGGACACTTAGTCCCTAAATGAGAGCCTAAGTGTTGAAAAGTGGTCTGTAGTCAGAACAGTGTGAAGACGACCTCGGAATGAAAATTCGATGCTTCCGTTAGCTCCGTTAGGTGATTTCGGGGTTGGGAGCGTGTTCGGAATGTATTTTGGAAGTTCGTAGCTCATTTAGGCTTGAAATGCCGAAGTTTGAATTTTTGAAGTTTCCGGTCCGATAGTGAGTTTTTGATCCGAGGGTCGGATTGGAATTCCGGAAGTTGCAGTAGCTCCGTCATGTCATTTGGGAGGTGTGTGCAAAATTTTAGGTCATTCTGACGAAGTTTGGTTAGGTTTTTGATCGAAAGCGTGTTTTGTTGGAACTTGAAGTTCTTAGGCTTGAATCTTTGATTAAATCGAGTTTCCGACGTTGTTTTAGGTGTTTTGAAGATTGGTACAAGTTTGAATAGGGTATTAGGTGTTATTGGTGCCTTTGGTTGAGGTCCCGGGGGCCTTGGGATGATTTCGAATGGTTAGCGGGAGGATTTTTGAAGTTTGGAAATGCCAGTCTTTGCTGATTCTGGTATTTCCGCATCTGCGGCCTGGGAACCGCAGATGCGGTTCCGAAGATGCGATATTGAAGACCGCAGAAGCGGTTTTGGCCAAGCTTGTTTGTTTCTACAGATGCGGTGGTTGGCCTGCAGAAGCGGGACCGCATCTGCGAGGAAATAACCGCAGAAGCAGTGTTGGGCAGTTAAAGGAAAACCGCAGAAGGGGTTGATTTGTTCCGTAGAAGTGGAGGCTGGGATTTTAAAGGAAGCCGCAGAAGCGGCCAGAGTTCCGCATAAGCGGGACCGCAGAAGCGGTATTCACTGTTCAGAAAAGGGAATTTCGAGGGTTGAGTTTCAAAAGTTAGAAAAATCAATTGACAGCTCGGGAGAGGGCGATTTTGAGTGGGTTTTGAAGTGAAGATCATTGGGTAACGTTTTCTTAATCCCTTTTAGTTGTATTCCATCAATATGTAGCTTAATCCATCATCTAATTTCGAATTTGGCATCAAAATGGGAGAAAAACATCTTAGACTAAACCATTGAGTTTTGGGTGAGCATTTGACATCCGATTTGGGAGATTTTTATATGGTTAGATTCGTGAGAGTACGAGGGTTCTGAAAATGTGAAAATTATTCAATTCCGAGACGTTGGCCTGAAGGGCATTTTGGTCATTTTGCCTAATTTCCCCGCTTTAGCTTTGAATTAAATAGTAGAATCAGTTTCTTGAGATGTTATTTACAATGTGTGATTTAATTGAACAGATTTGGGCCATTTGGAGTCGAGTACTCGTGGCAAGAACGTGGTTGCTAGCTGATTTTAGCCGGTTCGAGGTAAGTATCTTGCCTAACCTTGTGTGGGGGACTTACCCTTAGGATTTGAGTCTTCTTTGTTGATTGTATTCCTTGTACGCGAGGTGACGAGTGCGTGCTCGGATTTATTTGTGGAAAGTTGTCCCTGTTAGGCTCCTAGATCCTTGTAATCACCTAATATGAAGTTGTTCTTGATGCGATTGAGTTCCCTGTCGTTAGCTTCACCTTTACATGTCTTACTTGGAATTTATTTCTTATTCTTGTTGCCTAATTGACTTTTACTTGTTTCACTATAGACATTACCCTTCTATAGTCACATTGTCCCTCCTAACTGCTTGTCTCTATTTGGAAACACTATTTTCTATCTTTCAAGTAATTAATTGGTCCTCATTGGAAAGAAGTTAGATATCCTATGTTTAATCGATATTTCCTTAAATTGTAATTTGTTTAATTCATGTTAACTTCCTTGTTGTTGAACTTAGTATTATGAAATCGTCGTTTCATATTATTCCTCCCTTGTTGAGTTGTTCTTATTGCGCTTAGTATTTCCCTGTTACGGTTATTCCTTGTGAGTTAGTTGTACCGTCTGTTGGTGAACAGAAATTTCTTGAGTTCATTCTCTTGTTTGTTCCTGTATATATTGTCATTTGTAGTGTTGTATTGATATTGTGACGCACGAGGTTTCTGCCGTGCGATTGTCGATATTGTGATGCACGAGGTTTCTGCCGTGCGATTGTTGATATTGCGATGCACGAGGTTTCTGCTGTGCGGTTGTTGATACTGTGATGCACGACGTTTCTGCCGTGCGGTTGTCGTTGAAGGGTTGCACGAGGTCTTTGCCGTGCTATTGTTGTTATTGATGTTTTTGCACATGCGGCGTAATAAGGCGGGATATGTTATATGCTTATATGTGGGTTGCGTATGTGGCGGAATAAGGTGGGAGCATTGTGATGGACGTGTGGCGAATTAAGGCGGTGCCTATTATATTATTAATTGCACACGTGGCGAAATAAGGTGGGCTATGTCAGGGGTTGATTGTAAAGAATTGTGACGGCCTGTGGAGGCGTTTCCTATTGTTTAGTATTGAGAGTGTGGATTGCTTATCTGTATGAGCTTTATCGCTTGGAAGTTGTGAGGAAATATCGTACGTGCGGTCCGTTCCCCTTTTTATGTTTACTAGCCGGTAGAGTTTTGTTAGAAACACTTGCACAAGCATACACGTAGCGGAACACTCCTAGTAGTGGTGAATTCCTCCTGATTTTGCTAAGGGTGGAGGTACGCCCTTGTTTATCCATTTTTACACGTGAGAGTGGCCCTAGTTAGCCAGTGAGTTGTCAGCATGACCGTGCGATTTATGGGGCATAGGATGCCAAGTGTTGGATTTCAGATGCTGGGTTCTCGTGAGTTGTGGTTTGTCCGAAATTTGGTAAAATTGTTGAGAGGGGTCGAATAAGCCCTTATGTGAACATCACTGTAGGATATGAATTATTGACTTGTTTTTCCCTTGCTGTGTTGTGACCTTAGGATTTGGATTGTGATTCTGTCGTCATTTCGTATCGTCATTTACTATATTCTCGTTGTTACTTGTTGCCCTTTTTCCTTATTGTGTATTGTAGCATTTCTTTTGTCATTCATGCAGACTCTACATATTTATATGTCGGTTCCATTATTCCTTTGATTATACTGCTTATTTGACCGCTAGGTGCCTTGACTGTTTCTCGTCAGTACTCCACCGAGGTTAGTCTTGATACTTACTGGGCACCGCCGTGGTGTGCTCATGCTACTCTTCTGCACATTTTTGTTGTGCAGATACAGGTACTCCCGTTCAGTTCTGTCACCCTGGGAAGGAGGCGTTTCAATAGAGACTTCGAGGTATATCTGCTACGTCCGCAGACCGAAGAGTCACTTTCTATCTTCTGTAATGAGTATTGTTCTATCAGTATTTTTCCTTGTATAGATATTCTTGAGTTAGAGCCTCTTATGTATCCCTTAGCTTGTGATTTGTGAGTTTCCGGGTTTTGGGAGTTTTGTTTGCTTCGAGTAATTGTTGTGGTATGTGCCAAGCGGTCACCTTAAACNCCGGTTTTATTTTACCAGTTTCAGTTTTATTTATTTTCTTCCGTCAATTTATGGTTTATCTTCCNCTGATCAAACGAACAGAACCACCCGTGCCTCATTAGCACTCTGACATCGCAGGACATGACCTCATCCTGATACAAACAAGCATCTTCCTGCCCTATGTACCGAGCATTCTTTACTAACAACAACTTACGACATCCTGTGATTCTCACACACCTACGAAGCACCATATAACCTTTGTCAAAAATTTCCTTCACTCGAGCCATCCTCGACCTCAATCTCCGTAAGCCATAACTGGCTCACCAACACGCCTCGAACTGGAACCAACATAGCACTTAACCGTGCAATCTACTTAATCAATAGCAAGCTCCCCCACTTGGCTCGACGCCATAGATCAAAACACACCCAATAACTCATAACGCATATACTCTATTGCTTCCATAATACCATAGTGAGATTAAACTCAATCCCTCATAA